GGAGCCCCGATGTGGGCTGGGGAGAGGGAGTCCCTGGGCAGGGCAAGATGAGGTGGAGGGGTACCTGGGGGCCCAGGGCAGGGTTTGGGGGGTGTTGGTGTAGGGCCTGGCCAAGGCACGTGGCGCTGGTCCTGGCTCCCGGTGTGGCTGTGAGGTGTTGGGTGGCTTGGTCCCCTCGGCAGGGCTGGGCTCTCACTACCTGCCCGGGGGATATCCTGCCCTGTGGGGGTTGTGCCTTGGGTGTGGGGAGAACGTGTGGGAAGCTCTGTGCCTCCTCGTCCATGCCCACTGCAGCCCCTGACCCACACTGGTGTCCATCCCTGTGTCGCCTCTCCTTGGCAACCATGGCTGTGACCACGTGTGTGCTTTCACTCTCCTTGGGCTTGCCAGCTCCTGGGGTTGCCCTACCTGGTCCCCTGGCCTTGTCCTCTGCTCCAGCCTCTCACCCTAGGTCCTGGATGCTGTGCTGCTGTCACAGACAAGGGCTAAAGGCAGACACAAAGTATCCTCCTTCCCATGGGGTCCCAGGGGAGAGGGCCTCACATGAGGCATCAGTGAGACCCTGTGGGATGCTTGACCACAGGAGGATGGTGGTCCCAACAGGCTGGGTTTGAGTCCCTAGTGCCAGCCCATGCCACCTGCCTTGGCTCAACAGGCTCTGCTGAGCACCAGGACATCAACAAAAGCATGTCCTCCACACGGGTGCTTGTGCTGGAGGGGCTTTTCTGTTTAGGCAGGGTTGCTGGGGAGGCAGGCTGAGCTAAGCCAAAAAGATCCTCTTATTTTGGACAATAGTGGCGTGAGTGCAGTGGGAGCCATCGTCTCTGACGTACCCTGACTGGAGGTGATGACACAGGGCTGGCGAAGCATGGGGGAAGCTGGGGACTCTGTGGGGACACATCCCCTCTGCTCGCCCCTGGGCAGCCCTGTCACCTGCTGCCCTTGCATCAGCTCATGCGCAAGCCACCAAAACCGGGGGTGGTGGCAGGGTGACTCCTCTTGCGTCTTCTTCTTTGGCTGGGAGCTGTGGCGTGGTCCTCGTAATTTCCTCCCTGACCTCTGGTGTCAGCTGCTTCACCGGGACTTTGTGCAATTCCTTGGCTGCCCCGCACTCCCCCTCACCATCGCTCTCCTCCTTCGCTCCCCCTGCCAAGCCTTGCCTTCAGGCTGCGGGGTGCTCTGAGCACCGGCCCCTGCAGGCTTCAGGGGCTCCTAAGGATTGAGGGGTAGGGCTTCCATGGGAAGGAGGGCACAGCGCAGAGGTATGGTGGGGCAGGGATGCTGAATCTCTGATGGCCCTCAAGGGAGAGCTCTGTGGGGCGCAGAGGACCTGGCTTGTGGGCACATGGAGGGAGATGCTGCTCAGGGGAGCCCCGGAGCTCGGGGCGGGCGGCTGAGGTGGCTCAGAGGGGCTGCGACGTGTTTCCTTCCTCCACGGGGCCTGTGGGTGTCAGCGCAGGGTGTGGTGGTGGTTGGGGACCTGCCCAGAACCAGGTGGCAAACAGGTGCCGTGGCACCAGAGGTGGAGGAGGCAGTTTTGTCCCCTGCCTGTCCCCTCGCAGTCCCCAGCTGGCGCTGCACTGTGCTGCCGTGTTTACCCTGGCTGTGGCCGGGCTGACTTTTCCCCCCAGATGTCTCCTGCAGGGGATGGGGACGTCCCAGCCTTACCCCTGCTCCCCGGGTCCCCTCCACCCACCTGGCTGGCAGCGGGGTGCGGCCAGGATGCAGACAGGGGCGCAGGAGGAGGGGCTGGGCAGGGGATGTGGTTTTAGGGAGATGGGTGCCTGCACAGGGCTGCATTTGTGGGTCTGGTGAATAAAGGACATTGGCGCTGGGAGAGGGAGGGAGGCAGAGCTGGGGTGCAGGCTTGTAGTTTGGGGGTCCCGGTGAGG